GAGAAAGTCAATTATCATAGGGTTTCACTTATTTGTGGAACATAAGGAATAGCATGGAGGACATTAGGAGAAGGAAGGGAAAAATGAAGGGGGGGAATCATAGGGGGAGACGAACCATGAGAGACTATGGACTCCGAGAAACAAACTGAGGGTTTCAGAGGGGAGAGGGATGGGGGGATGGGTTAGCCTGGTGATGGGTATTAAGGAGGGCATGTATTACATGGAGTACTGGGTGTTATATGCAAACAATGAATCATGGAACAATACATCAAAACTAATGATGTACTGTATGGTGACTAACATAACATAATAAAATAAAAAAAAAATAAAAATATGTTACTTACATTGATATTGAATAGGTTGACTCTTCTTTTGAATGTATCTATAACTGAATATTGTCAGAAAATTTCAGTGTTACTTTATAAGATGGTGAATATGGAGAGTGATAATGCACCCAAACAAAAGCCAATTAGAGGCTCAAGTTTTCTTGAGTGTAAAGAAATCGCCAGACCAAAATGTTAGAGAGTTGTTTCTTTATACTTTGTGTCACTCTTGGAATGGTATCTTATTTTTTATTTCAAATTCGTATTTTGAATGATTACTACTGGTGTAATTCTATGAGAAATACTGGTTTTTGGAAGTGGATCTTCTGCATCTCTGTGCTCTCTCTTGCTGTGGTATGCTCTGACTTCACTCTTTGCTTTTTCTGGGTGCACGAGCCTGTCTTTTCCTGTCAAATCCTCACATACCTTCTTTCTTTTTCTTTCCTCAGAGCACCGCTCAGGGCTTTCAGTTCCATGCTAACGAACAGCAGAAACAGTGAGTATCCTTGTCATTTTCCCAATCCTAACATACTGCATCTAAAGTTCCTCCATTTTGTAAATTTTTTAGGGTATATTGTTACATAGATTCATGATCTTTATTCTGGTCGCCTTCACTCCCTGTGATCTGAGCAGATGCAGCATCTGTGGCTGGTCAGAACTATAGCATGGTGTCTGAATTCATCCT